GATTTTGATGATTTTTTTATAGCTACACTCCTTGACCCTATATGAATACAATGACTCAATTTGATCTTCAATTTAAAATATTTACACTAGTGGATACCACAAATCTTATGTTATATTTAATAAAAGTATAAATAAACTCTTTATTGTTAGTGAATATATTGTTTTGATGGCATATGTATTCTATGAAACTATTTTCAATGATCCAACCGTCAAACTTGTTTGTTTACACATCGTGATCATATACGCCAAAAATCGGGAAAAAAAATAAATCAGAGATCAAGTAACGGGACAAAACATTTCGACGGTTATAAACGAAAAATCAAGATTTAACGGTTATTTCAACTCGAATTTTGATGATTTTTACAGCTACACTCCTTGACCTTATATGAATACAATGACTGCATTCGATCGTCAATTTAAAATATTTACACTAGTGGATACCACAAAATCTTATGTTATATTTAATAAAAGTATAAATAAACTCTTAATTGTTAGTGAATATATTGTTTTGATGGCATACGCATTCTACGAAACTAGTTTCAACGATCCAACCGTCAAATTTGTTTGTTTACACTTCGAGATCATATACACCAAAAATCGGAAAAAATAAACATTCGGAGATTAAGTAATAGGACAAAACTTTTCGACGGTTATGAACGAAAAATCACGATTTAACGGTTATTTCAACTCTGATTTTGATGATTTGTTACAGCTACACTCCTTGACCCTATATGAATACAATGAACGAATTCGATCGTCAATTTAAAATATTTACACTGGTGGATACCACAAAATCTTATGTTATATTTAATAAAAGTATAAATAAACTCTTAATTGTTAGTGAATTATTGTTTTGATGGCATACACATTCTACGAAACTAATTTCAACAATCCAACCGTCAAACTTGTTTGTTTACACATCGAGATCATATACGCCAAAAATCGGAAAAAAAAAAAATCAGAGATCAAGTAACGGTACAAAACATTTCGACGGTTATAAACGAAAAATCAAGATTTAACGGTTATTTTAACTCCGATTTTGATGATTTTTTACAGCTACACTCCTTGACCCTATATGAATACAATGACTCAATTTGATCTTCAATTTAAATATTTACACTATTATGTTGTATTTAATGAAAGTATAAATAAAAAAAGGGTCGTCTATTGTGAAGTATGTAAAGATGACGGTTTTTTTTTAAAAAGGGTCGTCTATTATGAAGTAAAGATGACGCTTTTTTAAAAAAAAAAGTCGTCTATTATTAAGTAAAGACGACGGTTTTTTTATAAAAAGGGTCGTCTATTATGAAGTAAAGACGACCCTTTTTATATGAAAAGGGTCGTCTATTGTGAAGTATGTAAAGAAGACGGTTTTTTTTTAAAAAGCGTCATCTTTACTTCATAATAGACGGCCCTTTTTATAAAAAAAGCGTCGTCTTTTAAAACACGCTAAAAAAAGGCTACTTAAGTGAATTCACGCTCGACAAATTTTCAAACTTTCCCCCATCTCTGAAAACCTTATCTCTCATTAACAAGCGTCGTCTTTTAAAACACGCTAAAAAAAGGCTACTTAAGTGAATTCACGCTCGACAAATTTTCAAACTTTCCCCCATCTCTGAAAACCTTATCTCTCATTAACAAGCGTCGTCTTTTAAAACACGCTAAAAAAAGGCTACTTAAGTGAATTCACGCTCGACAAATTTTCAAATTTTCCCCCATCTCTGAAAACCTTATCTCTCCCTCGTTGAAACCCTCCTGCACTCTCTAAAACACCCTCATGAAACTCTCTACAAAATCATCAAAAAATCGATATCAATGAAGGAGTTGAGAGATTGAGGTCTTCGCAGATCCATAAGATGTATAGGGAGGTTCTGTATTTGAGAATCAAAGCTGGTTGAAAGGTTTGATTTGAAAGATCTCGACCTTCACTTTCTTCAAAGAAGATCTCGCT